TGTTCAAAAATGACCACCTGCACTTCATAATGATTTCAAGTGAGCATTGATGGTTTCCCTTGTCAACATAAGTGAACAACCATTGGCTGTAGGATCGAGACCGGTGGGACATTCAGTGGTTTTGTGTGGGTGTGCGCACGATATGTGTGTCTATGCAGCCATATGCCAAAACTGAGCAAAACGAAAAACTCTCCTGGATCTAGTTGCCATAGTAACTGGCAATTCGCAGCATCTGGCAAATTATAGGGCCGTGGTGAAGGGCGAGAGAGTGCGCGTGTAGACGCGTGTGAAGCTCTGTGTGTGTGTGTGTGTGTGTGTGTGTGCGTGTGTGTGTGTGTGTGTGTTGTGTGTGTGTGTGTGTGAAGGAGACTGCGAACCCCTCCCGCATACAAAATATGTTCTTCAGGTGCACGAGAAGCAGAAAAGAATGGTTATTATTTTCCAGTCAGTCGACCTCAGGTACGACAGACAGACATGTGAACACACACACACACACACACACACACACACACACACACACACACACACACACACATCCACAGAATTGGGCTCATTTTTTACAATTACGTGAAAACAACACAGAAAATAAAGCTGGTCGTCCTCCCACGGGAGAGCTCTCTCCACTTAGGTTTGATGACCTGTATGAGTCTGAATGGTGGAACGGACATCTTCAGTGACCTTGAAACAACCTCTGCTCGTCACAGGTGTAGTTTATGTAAATGTGGTAGGGATGGGATGCGAGTTTGGATTGACACAATCCATCAGTGGAAGACACTCGGGAGACAGAAAGTCAATGCATATACCGGTAATCTTGTAGCGCATCCTAAAGAGAGATAAACAGAGATCCAGCAGCAAATTATGTCCACTTGCACAATCTCCGTATCTGCATATGATCTTGTAGCGTATCCTTAAGAGAGATAAACAGCAGCAAATTATGTCCACTTGCACAATCTCCGTATCAAAAAATTCAACCTTGACAAAGGTCATTCCATTGACACAGTCAGAGAGGTGAACACATTTGTCATCCAAATGATTCATTTTATAGGTTTGTCAATGTGCTGCATTTACTTGCTCTTTCTAACACGTTGTACCTCTAATAGTCAAATGAGGACCAGACAAAAAAATATAGACCTTGACAAAGGTCATTCCATTGACATAGCCAGAGAGGTGTTCATTTAGTCATTCAAATGATTCATTTTATAGTTTTGGCAATGTGCTGCATTTACTTGATCTTTCTAATACGTTGTACCTCTAATAGTCAAATGAGGACCAGACAAAAAAATATATATATCAATTTAAGTGCAAAAATGATGATCATCGTGCCATTGTCTAAGGAATTGCAGACCAGCAAGGTGATTTCCCACCAATTCAATTTTGCTACTAATAGAGTCACACCAGAATACAAATCAGGCTAATCCTCCATGAACAAGGAACACTAACCAGAAATGGGACAGATTAAGAAATGCAGTTTGTCTTTTTGCAATGTGAGTGGCCATGCGAGCCTTACCGATTGTATTCGCCAGCCTGCACCTCAAAATGTTGTGTGCCGTTCAGCATGGGTCAAGTGGTTGTTGAGCCGTTGTTCAATCAACCCGATGAGGGAATCTTTTGCCAGATTTGCGTTCTGTTACCGTCTCGTACGGCTGTTAAACTTTTGGTTCATTTCAATCTTGTTGAACAAACCTTACGAGTGAATCATAAAATAACAGGAGGTCAACCAGTGTCTCTGAATGGTTTGTTTTCGACCTTATAGATTCCACTGTACTGCTCGAGCAACCTAAACCCCATTTTACATATGATTGGTAGCAATTTTTTTTCTCCATTCACCTCATTTCTCTCCTTAAAAAAAAAAAAAACAAAAACAATGAGGACAAAACATGGGCACACAGCGCCAGTACTTTCCTATAGGGGAAAAACAGGAGTTGAGCCTTGCCAAGCGTCTCTATAAATCACGGTTAAATGGTTCGTGCTTAAGGTTTAACCAGTCCCCATTAGAGAATCTTCTATGGCTGTCAGCAAGTTCTTCCTTCGCGGCATCACACTATTTATACACAGTATGTGTACGTGACAGCACAGATTGTCTTTCGCAGTTTTGTATAGTATTGTTGCTGCGCGAGTCTTTGACATATCTGTTACCGTACTTCTAGTTCAACAAGAGAACGGAGGCAAGAGAGACAAAAAGGGAGTTGCCCACTGGAGAATTTCAGAGGTGGACAGAAGGATGAGGAAGGGAAGTCACACACAGAGGAAAGATGTATGGATGCGCTTGCGTGGTGTGAGAGAGTCATGCTAGACAGAAAGAGAGAGAGAGAGAGAGAGAGAGAGAGAGACGGGTGCGTGTGAGGGCAACATTAAATTCCTGTACTATAAATCTCTGACAGTGCGTGTGTGCGTGGAGATAAGAGAGCCATGTCTCTCTCCATTCTGCCTCTGTCACAATGATGTATGCACTCCTTTCTTCTTCTCGGTGAAATATTAAAAGGCGTCTGCCCGCGTGTGTGATCTGCAGCCAACGTGTTTGGTTATTCCTCACCTCTTATCAGTGCGCACATTTTCAAAGTGGCGATTTGTGGCCACCCGGGAAAAAAACGAGACAAAATGGCAACGGGGGCAGTCACACAAATTCATACGTCGAAGACGGGAGACGACATTGGACGTGAAGTCACACATGAGGGAGGAAGTGTCAGGGGCCGCCAGCGTCTTTGATGGATGGCTACCTGCTTGACGCGTTTGATGGATGACATATTGGAGAGCACGTCGCCACGATGTGTGCTTCATTCAGCTGACAGTATTTTCTTTTTGGCATCTTGTGTTTTGGTATCATAATCAAGGGCGTGTGCCTCAACCCGCTGCCTTTTTAAAAACATATGCTGGCGTGCATGCGTGCAACCGTATTGCTTAAGCTAGCGTACGTTTTACCATGCCCGTGTCCAATGATATAATGCGTCTTGTGTCTGCGTTACATACAGAAATGGCAGCCGCAAGTGACACGTTGCCGTACGGTCGTGAAAATACGGTCATTGAATTCTCTTGCAATTTCGTTTGCGAGTGTAATTTTATTGAACTCTTACCTTGACTTTTGCAAGCGCTTTCTTTTTATTCCATGTTTTCCCGGCTCTCTGTGGCCAGCGACCTTTGGTTGCACCTTGTCGGTTCTCCGTTTTTCTGTCAAACACAGTTGTTTAACTTTCTATCCTTGTCTACATTTGTGGGATCCCAACATCATTTGGTTCATTCCGGAAAAGTGTCACTCGGCCGTGTCGTATCCTTCAAGCTTTAACTGTCACTCCGATAGCATTAATGTTGCCATCGAGAGAAAGCGGGTATGAGATCGGAGGTCATTACTCATGGCCCTGCCAAACAGTAAAGTTCAGTTCATCTTGCCAGGGCACAGTTTAGAATAGCAAATTTCACCCCCACCCCCAGGTTGTGAAGGTGCCATCCCATACATGATTATCGTGTATCAACAAAATGAGTCAACGAAAACAAATATGTGACTTGGGGCAGAGATGCATTCGTGCAGGATGTGTCGATAACAAACAAAAAGGATGACAGTTATGATCCGATGCAAGCCGGGTCAACCTTGTTTAGGGCCCAAATGTAGCTACCAAAATCTTAGTGCAAAAAAGAGCTCATAAATATTGTTAATATTTACCACAACAACAGCCTGAGCGAGTCACCAACCAATACACAATGCTCCTCTGTGAAGGTAATGGGATAATTATACATAATGAATGATCTAATAGGCCTAACAACCAATCACAATAGCCTTCTTCAAATTTTCTACTCTCTTGTGAGAAAGCCAGCTGAGAAGACGGCGGCGGAAAGAGCGGCAAGCAAAAGCCCAGCTGCAGGCGAAGATGTTGAGGCAGATGGATGGGATGAAAGGAAGGAATGAAATGAAAAAGCATCCAAGAAGGATGATCCGAAGGCGGGACAGGGGTGGCGAGAGGACAGATGAAGAATGGGGAAATTCAGATGACGAGTGAGGAAATGAGGAATGCGCTCAGGGAAAGACAGATGGGCTACTTGTGCGGCAGAGACACGCAACGGTTAAGTGAAAGGGGACTCATAAAGCCAAATGTAATGTTTGCAAAGGGTCCAGTGGCTGATATTTCCTTTTTGGACATTTCTGACTGATCAAGATCAGTGATGGTGTCAGTCACGTGCCCTGTTTTTAAGTCCAGCGTGGAGTCTGCCTTGCACCTGAAGGAAGCTGAAATAGGTTCGAGGTTGCAACAGGATAACTTTCAAATAAAGGCGGACGTGCTAAACAGTGGACCACCGTGCCGCCCTGTTCATATCTTAACAATACAAAGCAAATTGGTAAATCAAGGAATGATCCCCCTCCCACCCCAGTTTTGCAGTCCGAACCCTATATTGATTTGTGATTAGTAGTTACATCACATGCTTTAATTAGCCTTACTTGGCGGGCATACTGGAAATTTTGGAACGGTGGCCAACAATGAATCAATACTTCAATATTGTTATGTAGTCTGAATGTGATGTAAGCGGCTGACATTTGCCGGTAGCCTTTGTTTCCTTGCTGTCTCTCTCTCTCTCTCTCTCTCTCTCTCACACACACACACACACACACACACACACACACACACACACACACACACACACTCACACAGGAGGCATAATTGAGCAATTATCCTCTCCAGGCTGCTGATTGTAATTTGCATTTATAATCGTGAGCATGAGGATGAATTGTCATATACAGCCTTATAACCGATAGACGTGTACAGATGTTTCATAAAAACATATACGGGATAACATTGTAGAGCAGAGCATTTGTGCACCACATAAGCGTCAATGTGTGGCAAATGCCTTAAGAAACCACACCCGTGTCATTACAATGACAACGGGATGTGGCTTCGTTTTCCTATTAATGATGCTGCATTGTAAACAATATGTTCATTGGTCCTTCATCACAGAAATACATGTTGGACAAATCACATGGTGAGTTCATGCAAGACGACGACGCGCCAACCTGCCTTTGTTTCTGTGTTCTCTTTTGGTGTCAAGATGGCCTCTGGGTTCATCATATGGAAATGCGTGTGAAACAGTCTCTGTCGGCACCTGCAGTACACAATATACGGCTGGCACACTAATAGACTTGCAGGATTGAATAGACTTGCGCGCGCACACACACACACACACACACACACACACACACACACACACACACACACACACACACACACACACAAAGAATTTGTGGAGGATCACTGAAGTGTGAAATGATTCTGTTACCACGTCATCTGGGTGGAATATATTTTCCCATCCAACTTCTACTGGGTTCGTCTGTGCTTTTTTTTTTTTTTTTGGAGGGGGGGGGGGGTTGCTAGGCTCGTCGCTAGCGCAATGGCCGAGCCACGCACCTTAAAGGGAACACTGCTCATGACTAACTTTTAAACTAGGTTCCAAGAACTGGAAAATGATTCATATTGTAGAACAGATTGTGTCTATTAGACCAAGGATACTTGGAGGATTTATTTATTTTTATTCACTTTTCCTTGCAGCCTGCTGCTTTGAAACAGGTGAACGTTTCTCTGAAGCATTCAGGAAGCGGCTAATGGTAAGATTATCCCTTCATGGTTGTCAGGGTCGGTCGGGATGGTTACTTTTAAAATGTTCTCCACTATTCTTACTAGTTACCTGTTAAATAATGTAGTTTGTAATGTAATCCAAGTCCCATAATATTAAAGTCATGTAACGCGAATACTTGTAATTATTTTTGAATACCAAGACCAAATATGCTCATGAAGACAACATAAAAACAAATCTTGCTGCAATATATATTTGTATACAGTGGACGCCACTTTTTGCGGGATATTGAGATGACTAGATAGATAGATAGATAGATAGATAGATAGATAGATAGATAGATTCACATTTCATATAGTATAGTAACATAGTTCACATTCCAAACTCCCAGTTTCATATCATTCATTTTCCATTTGCCGATTTTGCTTACAACAAACACCTTTATAACGTCAACTTCATTGTAACGACCGGATTTTTCGGTTACAACGCACCGTGGGAAGATAACTGCCGCTGCGACCTTGCTTACAAAACGTACAGCGCTTAGCAACGCTACTGATCGACTCGGTTCATTGTTGTACTTCCTGCCGTAGCTCATTAAACTTCGTGGTTGGCAGCCATTTTATTTGAAACGGTTACAACAAACTACCGTTAGAACGTACAGATTTGTTTCGACCCTGAGATCCAGCTGCTCCTCAATGTTTTCCTAGTTGCAGTCTTTTCTTCAACAGAGGGGGCAGTATTTAGTTGAAAAATCCAGAGTTGTTCTGTTGTTATGGTAACCTCACAGCGTCATAGTTACGTGACAACCTTTCATGGAATATAGACAAGCTTTAGGTAAGTTAAATGCAAACAAATTCTCCTAACACGGGAATTTATTTGATGAGCGTAACATAGAGGTGCGTTGACTTCCTTTTCAAACATAAACCTGAAAGCAAAACATTTTGTTTGAGAATTATATGACTAACTTCAAAACATAATCATGCTGACGGTGTCAAAATATGGTCATGAATTACTTCAATACCCAAATCATGCAAGTTATTTCAGACGCACAGTGAGAGCTTTGATAGAAGCAGATTCGATTGTAAATACTTAATGCTCCGTCAGCCGAGCAAGTTTTTACACGTACCGTATGCACATTCAACGTGAAACATTTTTGAGAAACAACATACCTTTTTTTGTTGTTCTTTCAGCCAACGAAATTAGCCCTTGCCAAACAAACTCCTTGCGCACCTTCATTCATTCTTTCGCTGCTTGTCAGATTGTGAGACTTTTTGGGATTCTGACATACGATTACTTCATGTTCTATACACAGTGATTTATATTGACTTTGTAAGGTTCAGGGAAAAATAAAAAAATAGAAGATATTGTCCATTCAATGGATTAAATTAACTGGCAGATGAATGGTTATGCAATACGCATTTGAACATAGTTGAAACTTCAATCTGCTTTCAGGGTTGAAGGGTGAGCCTGGAAAGGAGCTTAAAATGCAAAACGTGACGTTTGCACATACCCCGAGCTCAGCAGCAGGTTGTTATGAGGCACATTCAGAGTACTGCACCAAGAAAGGGGAGCGACAATAATAATAAAGATCATGATGATGGTTTCTATAGAAGACACGACTTCAACGACGGAGGCCCTTCTGACGCCCAGAGAGAAAAATGAGTGTGGAAAAAACCCCAAGGACGATGCAGATTCGCTCAGAGACGTTCCAGTGGAACTGAAGCTTGAGGTGAGGTGAGACCTCTCTTGTTGTGAACCTTGACCCCGAAGGCTCATAAAGAGAATCTCTGCTTTCAGTTCCTCAGAGCTCTGAGGCAGAGAGACTTCCAGCAGGCCAAAAGACTGTGCAATATGAGTATGTACACCGCATCCATCTAACCGTCTGGTGCTGGCAACACGCAAAAATCACTTGATTCTATCTTTTCAGTTCTCATCTATGAACCACATCATCCAGAAGCTTCTGAGTTCCTCCCTCTGATCCAAAGGAAGCTGCTCGAAGGTAAAGACCAAACGCAAAATCTCCAAGTGGAGGCTCACAGTACACTGCTGTAATTTCGTTTTAGAGCAACAGGCAGACCAGGACAGCGACGACAGTGATAGTGACGATGATGCCGATGACCCTGGATGTGATGAGGAATGATGTCAGAATTCGGCCTGCTTGTCCTCACCGTCAAATGAAGATGGTGGAAGTGGGTGGGAAAAGCAAGTGAACTGACATATAGCTGTTGGGTTTGATAATTACGCCTCAATCAGAATCCCTTCTCTTAAATGCCACTCCTTCAAGATAAACTGAATTTGATCACGACCACTTAGTAACTCTGAAACACAAACACCTGTGCAAAGTCTATCGAGCAGGGGTGTCTAATTTGTAGTCTTGGCCACATTGTGGCTTTGGTTTCTGATACCATACAAATGAATAACTGCCTCATCATATTATTACATTGTGACAACAAATTGATAGATGAATAGAGAGGAGAAATATTACCGTCTAGGCTGCCCGTGGGTCGGATGCGAGACTCCAGTTCCTTTCACAGATGTTTATTGTACAGCAACACACCGTAAAACTAAAAGTTCAGAAACATAAAACAACATATTTCATTTACGACAAAGGTAGCTTTGCTTAGCGTCAAAGCTAATCACGAGAGACAATACAAAATACGACTGACCACTTTGGCCTGCTTTTAATCAACGGCAGCCTTCTCACAGAGATAATCCTTAGAGTCAAATATGTGATGCTTCGACAAACTTTAATTAACTTTGTATACGACGGACGATGAGGAAAAAGTAAGCAACTCGCGTGGCAAATGCCGCTAGAAGTGCACTTCAGTTTTTTTGCGTAAAGTTTACGGAGATTCTGTAACGTGCTCATTCCGGTATAACATTTTCAAGATAAAGGTATTTTTATTTCAAAATAAAGATCACAGTAATGACGTCTTTTGTTCTAACAGCAAAGACATAGGGACAAAAATGCATGTAATATTTCACTCTTGTTCAAAGTTAAGACAATTGCAACTGTGGTACTGATTTTACCAAGATACATGAATAAGACATAGCGTTAAAATAGAGATTCTAAAGACAGATTCATTTTTCAAAAAAATGAATTGATAGTTCATCTCGACATTTGGTGACAGACCAATTAAATGCTCTTCCACTAGAAGTTAGAAGGTCCAAATAATTACAAAGACAACATTTTATGACAGTAGCTTGGTGTTCAACGAAATCAGATTTCGCACCGAATATGTATATTTGTGAGCAAATTGAGACAAGTTTATGTTTATTTCTGAACTTTTTGGGACATTTTTGTTAGGTGGTGTTCTGTGAGATTTTTCCAATGTAAAGTACTTGCCTTGGATCAATAAAGGTTGGAAAACTCTAGTCTAGATGTCCATGTGTTAAAGGTGGTGAGATGGTGTGCCCCCATGTATGTCAATCTGTCTTTTTGATATATTTTAGAAATATTTAATACAGACCAAGCGGTCCCGAAGTCGTGACTGATCAGTTTTCCGGGTGTGGAAGGCAATCAGCAGGAGTTCTATTTTGGTTGATTTCACCCTTGCATTGCTGATCTTTTTGAGTTATCTGCTCACGCAACATGTGGGGAGAGAAAATATGAGTGCCACCTGATATAGGCTGTATCATTGGTGATGGCTGAATGAACATAAGGGCCACTTTCTGCCTATTCAGTGGACCCAGTACACAAGCGCGAGGATGGCAGTGGAAGGACACTAAGTCATCCTTGGCTAGCTGCGATCCACTGTGATAGCTTGGTTTTATTGTCCATATCAAGGCTATAATGAGGAGTTCAGGTCACAAGCTTTATTTAGGACTATATAGATATGTATGTATACATTAATAGTCCTAAATTAAGTACCAATGTGTAATAAATCAGACACTGATGTCAGCAAAGCACTCTTGTTTTGTCTTTTTTTTTCCATGCAAAAATGCTTTGCGCTGGTTTGAGGGTACTTAGTTGGAAAAAAAAATTTTTCCAGGTGTTACATCATTGAAAACAGGTTGAGAACCTACGGTTCTATATAATATCATGGCCTCCTTGTGCATGTTAGTAGTGCATTTGTATGAGACGGCATCAGCAGTTTGAATGATCACAAATAGACTCTATTTGCAGGATTTCAAAATGGAAAAAGGATCCGAGGGCTGGAGGAATATCAACCTTGTGCAGCGCATATCGGCCCACCACGAACTCACCAAAATTTCCAGATTGCCACTCCGGCCCTGGATGGGTTTTACTTTTTGGTCAGGGTGCAATGTACTGAGTTGGGTGTACTGTACAGATTTTTCGGTTTCGTTCCATTAAATCAGCAAATTTCCTTCTGTTGAACCCCCAAGTAACCAGCTCAAAATCAATTATCCCGGATTGAGCTGTGACGCCAATGACGTCCCCAGAACTCACAAAATCAGTGTCCTTCCAAGGTCACACATACATGCAAACGCAACCCACACTGGGCACAGGTTTCACAATCTGGGGTTTCAAGATTCACATTTTTGTTTGTTTCTATTAACTTTTTTTTCCCCCGGCTTCTTAATCGATGGTGTGCGTCCCTTGACAGCCTTCTGAGTCATCGGAGGGTGGTGAGGGTGTGACTCACGACTCTGTGCGTGTGTGTGTGAACAGACCAATGGGCAGCCGCAGCTCCTCATATAAATAAGGCATAAAAATGTTCTTGAGGGGGGACAGTGCTCACTTGTGCACCGCTGGAAAGGATGCTATTGGATGTTCTTGTCGCTTTGCTCTAGTCTCCAGACATCTTCCGCTCTGAGCCATTTTTTTACCGTCTACTTTTGTGAATTCAGCTACCTGTGGGCGCTCCCGCGTGCCGGTAAGACGTCTTGCTTTCTTTTCCACAGACGCGCTCACGGTGTCTTATGCGTAAATATACTCACGGCGCCTTATTCCAAGCAAGAGGGACTCCGTTTAAAAAGCATCTTACACATCAGGGTGATTTAGGACAAACACAATAACAAATGCCCGAAAACGAATTAGATGTCCGTTGTGTTGGTTGTTGTTGTTTTGCCAATGATCTTGATTATTTAGCAATTTTCGTTTAAATGTAATGTGTCTTGATTTTTTCCCCCCAAAAAATCTGCGTGTTTCTTTCATCTACCCAAGGTCTTGTGGACAATATGTCTCAAAGTGAAAGGTGGTGGGGGGGGGGGGTTCATATTTTCTCCAGAGAGTTCTTCGTGTCATTTCCTTGATCTCACGTTTCGTTTTTTTTTTTATTATTATTTTAAGGTGTCAGTCTTCTATTGGCTGAGATAGACTGCGGCTCTGACAGAACTTAATGGCTAATTGAGTTCAAGAAATATCGCAGCGCATTTCCGAAATGGATGCGCGCGTTATCTATCACCGCGCGAGCGTTTATCCTTATTGTGTCAGTTCTGTCAGTGCGCAATGGTGCTTCCAAATTGCGTATTCAAGAGTGCCCAAGCTGCTATTGTGGGTGATATATTGTTCCTACAATAGCACGTGCAAAATTACAGTAGTAATAATATTGATATTTTTTTTGTTAAGAGAGTTCTTCGTGTCATTTCCTTGATCTCACGTTTCGTTTTTTTTTTATTATTATTTTAAGGTGTCAGTCTTCTATTGGCTGAGATAGACTGCGGCTCTGACAGAACTTAATGGCTAATTGAGTTCAAGAAATATCGCAGCGCATTTCCGAAATGGATGCGCGCGTTATCTATCACCGCGCGAGCGTTTATCCTTATTGTGTCAGTTCTGTCAGTGCGCAATGGTGCTTCCAAATTGCGTATTCAAGAGTGCCCAAGCTGCTATTGTGGGTGATATATTGTTCCTACAATAGCACGTGCAAAATTACAGTAGTAATAATATTGATATTTTTTTTGTTATATCTTTCAGATTGACATACGCGCGACAAAGTGGCTGATTTATCGTTCCCGCTGGTCTGCTTTGTTTGCAGTTGAATAATAGCCTTCTTGGAGATCAGATAAACGACGAGAGTGATGGCCACGTCAGAGCCGAGAACCACCAGCGGGGAACAGGACCCCAACACCGCCAATTTAAGACCCTCATCCACAAGTAAGCGAATATAACACCTTGCTGTAAATGGACCCCCGAGGGTCAGGCACATCTAGTTCAGGCCGCCCTTCGCCGAGTTGCCGTGCATGGCTGACTAAGGGTGCCTTGCTCAAAGTGCGCACACTCACACCCTGCCTCTGTCCGTCTGGCTCGTTCCTCTCTGCCGTCACCCCTCCTTCTTTGTCTGGGGAGGAGGGGGGGGGGCGACTCTTGCCCGGGTCATTTGCTGTGTGGGCTCCGTCGTTAATCACTGCGGTTAAAAACAGAGCCATCACATCTGCCTGTCTGTCTCCCGGGTTGTCTGTCTGTCTGGGTGCAGCGGTGCGCAAAGCAGTCCGCCAGGCGAGGAATAAAAGATGTGACATTCGATCTTTATTTCATCTATTAAACGCGTAAAACATAAAACATATTTTAGACATTTCAGAAATTTCACCATATCTACGGAACGGCACGGCGTTTGTATTCTTAATAATTAGATATTTTTTCCTTAGTAAATGTATGATCGAACGGATACATATGGGCAATAAAGCTTATTATTTTGATACGACTCGCCCACGTACTGCTGCTGGATGTTGCCATTATCTCTGCTCCATGCTTCATCTCACTCTGGATGGCTTGTGGCGTATGTGGTCGCGCGTGGGCTTGTGCGCGCGTGCGTGCGAGTGCGCTTCGGCCTAAACGCTTTTTGAACAGCTTGAAAAAAAATCTTTGTTGTTGTTGTGAAGGTCTCTTGGATTATTATTATTTTTTTTGGTTTTGTTTTGTTTTTTCACGCCGTGACTCTATCGCTTTGCTTTCGCTCCACTTGGACGTCATCTCCGCTCACGCATGTCCACGCTCTCGTGTGAGATTCTGAGTGTCTCGAAATGTCTGCTGTAGACTTCCACGACCATCACCAGCTCGCTCCCGTCACACACGGCGTTTTACTCAATTAATTTCCACCCTCCTCCGTGAGCTCATTTCACGGGTGTTAATTCCCACTCGGCCTCTTTGGCTGCATGGGCGTGCGCGAGTGTGTGAGCCAGCGTGTCCCTATTGATTTGGCCTTACGGGTCGTAAACGTTATGGCTTACCCCTTTTGCCCAGGACAGGAATCCCTAAAAAGATAATTATAACAACAGCAAAAATGACTTTTCACTAAGACAGTCAAATGCACCACTTCAATCTGGGAATTATTTTGTATCTTTTCGTGGACTAAAAAGGACGAAATAAGATGCAATTATGTTCCCAAAAATTAAAGAAGACGCAGAATCCATTGTATATGTTTTCTCCGAGATGATAGCCTCGTTTCATCCAGTCTGGTTGTCACACACCCGGCCAAATAGTCGCCCGCCTCACGCTTCCACTGTGCTTGGCCGCCTTTGCATCACCCTCCCGCCGCCGTACCTCACAAAACTTAAAGGTCTAATTCTGTTTTAGCCTACGAATATGCGTGGATGCATGGCTGTACAAGGAAACTGGGCATGAGGATTTGTGGTAAGTTGTCTCCTGCATCCTGCAAATATTATCAGCGTGCAGGTTTTGGTGGTGCTCGGTTTGCGACGGAGTTTCGTTAGGACGAATGTGCAAGTCATAATAACGGTCAATATCTGTTTGGGGAAAAAAAATCTAGCCTAATAAACAACAACAAGTAGTCCCACTGCAGTAAACGAGCGCGCAGTCGTGTGCCTTGACATGCAAATTAATTCACTGAGCGCCGTACTGAACGCCACCTTGTATGTCACGGCCGTAAATAGGAATGACATTACTGGCTAAATACATAAATACATAATCAAATAAATCCAATGGATCCAACAAGGTGCTTTTAATTTGAATGACTGTCGTTCATGATTGTGAGTAATATTTGCATTCGTCGTTCCGCTGTCAAAACACACCTCATTATGACGCTGTCAATACATCTACAGGTCAATCAAATAAACATGACTGCCTTTACAGTGTCAACTATTTCATACATTGCAGCTCGTGACATTTTGTTGGTTTCCGATGGCGTCGGCTGAGTGTTCCCAAACATTCCACCGTGTCGCGATTTTTCTTGCGTTCGCGGCCATTTGCCCGCCCTTCGAAAATAGGCCACTGTAGAGGCAGTGAGAACAAAACTGTCACAGTGCGTTATCATCTTGGAAAGGTCAGTGGACATTACCCCGTGGGTCTGATGATGAGCGCTCCTCTCACCCACTCTGACCGCCCCCGGATCCTCCGCATGTCTTTTGCATTCAACAAACTCGGCGACAAACCGACTTCAGACAGCACAGGAAAAATATGCTCGCAAGCACCCACGGTCAGATAAATTATTGTAAATGTAAAGTTACATAGGTCACAATTTAGTGAGGGTTTTTTTTTTTGTTAAGAAATGACAGAACATATATTCGCAGCTATCAAATGTGAACTCATAATTAAAAATCTTAATGTTTGTTAATTAAGAAGACATTTACCAGACAGCCGACTAACAAACAAAATGTGGGATATTTTTTGCGATTATGATCTATGGGAAATTGACAAATGGATTTTAGATTCATGTAATTACATTTCAATGGATTTAGAGCGTCGTGACTTCAGATATTGATTTTGAAGGTGTGATATTGGAATTCCCTTTATTTCTAAATGTGAACTGAAAATGATAGAAAATCCAAATGCTGTGTTAATTCCCCCCTTTTTTTTTGTCAATATAAACTTGTATTTTATTTTGCGCAATTAGGCGGGCCTTATGGCCTTCACGCGGGAGCGGATCAATCACCGTGCAGGCCTATATAGTGGAAGCAGACATGCTGCGCCTCTGGCATCCTTCATTAACCCTCTTTATGGGTGTGTGTGTCTACTGGCGGTACGGGGCCATAGCCGGAAGCTGTCGGGATCACTGAGTCGATCAGTGTGCGTACGTGCGTGCGCGCGTTAGTGTGTGTGTGTGTGTGTGTGTGTGTGTGCGTGCGCGAGCGCGCGCATGTCGCTGATTATATTGTTACAATAGTCCCGAGAGAGAGAGAGAGAGACGCGGGTGTGGTTTATAGCCAAGGTTTGGTTTAGGTTGGCCTCCACCAGAAATTCGTTGGTTTAAAATGATGGCAAAGCACTGCTAGACTAGTGACGCTTTTTTTTTTTTTTTACATTCAAATTTATACATTTTTACAGCTCGAAATATTGCGTGATGGAGATGTTTGGTGATAACTCGTGCACATCGCCGTGCAACACACTAGGGTTCCTGCAGAAAAACAACAGCTTGGAGGAGAAGGGCAGACTGAGTCAGAAGAACCTGCTCTCCTGCGACAACAGTGACAGGGACGCTCGGTTCCGACGCACCGAGACCGACTTCTCAAACCTGTTTGCCCGAGGTGAGCAGAAAAAAAAAAGAATTAAAAAAAGAGAAAAAAATGATGGTACATCATTCACACTATTACATTTAAAATCAAATAAACAATTTTACAAATGTAGACCCCCCCCCCAAAAAAAAAAGTTTAATTCAGTAATTATTGTTTTATGAACACTCTTTGGAAAGATAAAATCACTCACAACTGCACAATAAAAACGTGATTTCTATCAGCCTTAAATGTATGCTAATAAAATATGGGAATAATGAAAGTGTTATAATTCACCTTATTTAAATAAAAGTTGGCAATGCATATATATATATA